CACTGAATTTGATACAGCAGCTATGAGGTAGGCAAGTATTGCTACCGTCCACACTGAGAAAAGAAATACAGCCAAAGTTGGTAGCAAACTTTAAAATCTTATTTAGGTCATGAGCTGTACCACAGAACAGCTCTGGCAGACTGAGGAATAGAAACTAGTTCCCTTGCGTCTTATCCATTGCCTCAAGCTCCAGGGCCAACTTTTTTTCCTGCAACTGTGTTTCTTACATGCATTTAAAAAACTTTTTTTTGGAGCTTGTTTCTGGGTAAGCATATTTATCCCCTAAAAAATTTTGAAGATTGCTATACCTATTAAAAATGTAGTAGAGTGAAATACCAATTCATCCAGCTTTTCATGAAGAACAGTGTAGGAGCAATCTCTTTTTTTACGGTGAGTAAAGGACTAGGGTCTGTCAGCAGCTTTTTTTGACTATCAAATCTGATATTCCCCATTTTGGGAAAAGGAAATGTTGTTTTCCTTAAAATGTATAATGTTGTAAAGAGACAAAGAGGTACAGCCTTCATTAAATTGTTAACAACGTACAGAAGCAACATGGAACTATCATACTCCTTTTTTTTTTTTTTTTAAGTCAAGGTAAGGTTTAATTACAAACTCCAAATCCCCACCAGAATTTAATGCATAGCTTTATACATCAGTTTCCTCCAGCTAAAGTTATCCTATACTACTCAATAATTAAGTAAAAGTGTGGTGTTAATTAATTAATTTATTTAATATTTCCTTTACAAAGAGTTGGTAGAATTAAACAATTACTGCTGAGCTCTCAAAATGCTTATACTGATAGTGATACGCATTCCAGTCCCTGCCCTAGTTGTTCTGTAGGAGTGCTCATGTTTGTCTCCATCACAGCTGTGCCTGATGTGAACACACAGACTAATTTTCCAGCTTGTCCTCAGACCTGTCACAGAATCATCTGCTTAAGAAAAATGCATATCATTTTGAATTCTCAGTTTCACAGCAGAATTGGTGCCAGGCTTTTTGAATTCCAATGGCAGACCCATATCCAAATCAGTAGAATCCATAGTAAAATTCTTTGGAAGGATTAAAAGACTTCTTTAAGAAGACAAGCACAAGTTCCAATACTGTATCAACTGATATTTAGAATATTTAGAAAGTAAAGAACATGAACATGGAAAGTAGAAAGTAAAGAGTGAAAAATATAGCAAAAATACCCCAAGATTAAAGCACAAGATTAGATTTGTCAGATGTGTGATCACAGTATTGAAAGAGGGGGGAAAAAACAAACAAACAAACAACATTAAGCATTTTAGAAAAAAAATGTCAGCAGTATAAATTCTTATGAGCCTCCCAGTATCTGGTTGTGATAATGGGAGGAGAAACATTTTTCTTTTGGCAAGATCTCCACAACAAACTCTTATACAAAGCAGGCAATATCTGATGGTGGCAGTGAAGTGAAGAGTTTCTAGCTCTCTGGCACCAGCTCCAATACACTGTGCCTTTTGGGAGCTTAAAGTTTAGTTCAGTGGGAAATCCAAGAGCTCTTTCAGTGTTTTAGTCTTCCCAAAGATAGAGTGGGAGAAAAAAAAATATTCAGTGGCTGAATTAAAAGAAGTGTTGCTCAGGAACAAAAAAATTAAAAAATCATTATGATTCGTAAGAAAGCCCCTTTCAATTAGGAGAAATGAACACCTGAACTGCAAAGCCTATGAACAAATTCCAGCACAGCAAATCAGCGGCCAGTGTGAATGGATAAATTTTCTCATCAAGTGTCAGCTTTGTAGCCTCCTCCAATGTCTATCTTTTTTAACATGGTTTTATTTTTATCATTTTTCCATGATCTAATTTGACAAAAAGATACTAGGAGTTAATCAGCTGTTTTCTGATCAGATCAAGTGAATAACATTGATCTAGTCTCCCTGAGATTGCAGAAACTACTAGAAACCTCTTCACCAAGAAAAAAAAAAAAAAAAAACAGCAACGACAACAAAAATAAACTTGAGAAAATATTAGAAAAGTAAGCTTTCAACCAAAAAAAACCACACCTCTTATTTTATAACAGAAGGTTAAACACTATGGGTTAGAAATAACAAGCTGTATACCTTTAGAAAGTACAAAGGATAAATCTACTTTTTCTAAGCAGAATGTGATAGTTGTAGTGAACTTTCATGCTGAGCAGGAGGTTGTTGAATATTAACTAAATTGTGATCAACAGAAGTCTATTTGCATTTGGTATTACAATTGTTATTGATCTGTTTCAAAAACATAGTTTTACTTTGTATCAAGAATGAAGTGTATGGCAAGAACTTTTCTCCTATAAAGAAAGGTTGAGGGAATTGGACTTCTTTATCTTGGAGGTTTCAGGGAGACCTCATTGTGTCCTCCAGCACTTGAGGGGAGCTTATAAACAGGAGGGGAGGATGACATTTTACAGTCTGGTAGTGATAGGACAAGAGGAAATGGCTTTAAACTGAAATAGAAAAAAAAATAAGTTAGAAGTTGGGAAAAAATCTTTACTCAGAGGATGGTGAAGTGCTGGCACAGCTGCCCAGAGAACCTGTGGTGCCCCATCCCTGGAGGCACTCAAGGCCAGGTTGGATGGGGCGCTGGGCAGCCCCTTGGCAGAGCTTGGGACTGGTGAAATTTCCCTCACAATCCAAGCCATTCTGTGATTCTGTGATAAGGAGCAGTTAATGAGATTACTGAAATGAAAACATCACTCATTTTACCAGTATACTATGAGAAAAGCTATTTGTTTGTTTATTTGTTTGTTTGTTTGTTTGTTTTGGTCAGTGATTACTCTTTCACAGAATGTGCTTAAAAGCTAACTGTAACATCACAACAGGATGAAGGATATAGTTCCAATCTTGGTGGACATGTTCTGACTGTTACTTTTGTAATGCTGATTATTTGTTAATAAAGTAATTTTCTATATGTTCACTTCTCCCAGTCCTTGTGAAAAAACTGACAAAACAACATATAATTTGGAAACATGGCTAAAAATGTTATAATGAAGCTGTGGCTGGGAAAGAAGTAATAGAATCAATCATGCAACTGTTTGAGTTGGAAGGAGCCCTCGCAGGTCATCTCATCCAACTCTCCTGCAATGAACAGGGACACCTACAGCTAGATCAGGCTGCTCAGAGCAGACTGATCTTGAGTGTCTTCAAGAATTAGGCTTCCACCACCATTTTGGGCAATCTGTTCCTCACCATCCTAATTGTAAAAATAATTTTTCCATATATCTAGTCTAAATCTGCCCTCTTTTAGTTCAAAACCATAAAGACAATAAATAGTAATTCTAGTAATGTTATTTAGGAAGTACTTAATCGGTCAACCAAGAAACCTGACACAAGCATCTTAAAGGGAAATTTTCGGAGAGTACAAAATGTCCTCCTTTTAACCAAAAACTGTGCTAAGATCTAATAGTAAAGTACCAAAAGTAGTTACATTGTTCTTTCTCAGTAGTATACAAATATAAAATACGCCCAACAGAACCACTAGCATGTACAGATCTGTGAGACAGTCACAGTCGTTAAAGAAAAGCAGAAGGATAATCAAGAGATGAGTTTGTGAAGTTCCCAGTTGAACTGAGGTGCCTCCCCTGTCAAAAATCATGTCCTATTGCACCCTCTGAATTTTACTATATATCCTGAGTTTGACAGGCTTTCTGCAGAGGAAATGCAGCAAAACTTGGGTCTTGTTTTCAGATGGCCAGAGTGTCTTCTCACAATATAAATTTTACATTTATCTACATTCTGATGGAAAAGTTTCTATTGCTGAAGTACAGATACCATTTCCATTTTTTTTCTTGTCCATGAAAATATATACCATATATTTTTTGATTGTTCAGTGTGCATGTGCTTGTCTTTCAAAGGAGGTTAAGGAAATGGACTGTTAGGAGAGAGATTTGAAAGATATAATTCTACAGATCTGTACAGAGGGTTATTGGAAAGTATCAGCAAACAATTTATACAATTCTACGTTTTCCTATACAGTGTCACATATATTTCTCTTCCAAACATTGTATTTCCTGTGTTTTTATATGATGCTTGTTCTTTATTTCTCTTACATTGTGATTTGCTTCTCCTGTTTCTGATATAATTAAAAACAAAAAAGACGATCAATGAAATAAATGTGCTGATGTGGTGATAATTGTATTAAAGCAATATTAGAGTGCCTCTTTCTTCACTTCAGTCTGTAACCATATTATCTCCAGCTAAAATTATTTTGCTCGTGTATTAGGAATAGTAAAGTGAAGCTCTGTTTTTGGAGTCATGTGGTTGGAGGAAAACCACCAGTGATTAAGATAGAAACATTTGAAGTAGTTAAATTAAAAATAAATAAATAAAAAAAAAACCCTAAATCTGTAACTGTATTGTTTTGTGTTTTCTGGCTTCTTTGTGCTCTTAAGCAGCTCAAAGAGGACAAAGGCTTGCCACCATAAGAATAAATGAGAAAATCTGTTTATAACATGATTGCTTATGTCACCTTTAAGCAAAACATGCTATTCCATGGAAACATGCATGTTGAAAGAGAGGAGGATGGCTCAGAGGAATTCATCAGGCTTTATCAACCTCTAAGCAACATGCACTAAGTTCTGTTGCTTCATTCTAGGGCCAACTGCAGAGGTTTTCAAGTCAGTCCACAAAATCAACAATGTGTAAGAGTTTTCTTGATAAGTCTTTCCCCTTTATATGGTCTCAGTAATTGGTTTGGCTGCATGAAAACTTCTGGTGTTAGAACCACTAGAAATTCACAAGCATTGTCCTCCCTCACGTTGCAAAGCGGAAACCCATTGTGCATTTTTCATCATCTGTAATGAAAGCTTTTGATCCAGTAGACTGATTGATAGTAGATTATAATGGTAAAAGAATAGGGGCTTGATTAGTTTTCAAATGAAATTGAAAAGAATTGGAACAAGTATATCATCGTTCAAACCATTGCTTAATGAATATAGTCCATCTGCTTCCTTCTCACTGAGTCTCAGTTTACTAGTTTGCCTTTTTCTCAACTTCTGACAGGTGAGGAATGATCTGACTGGTGTTCTGTATGGTGAAGATATTGAAATTTCAGATACTGAGAGTTTCTCCAATGACCCTTGCACAAGCGTAAAGAAGCTTAAGGTATGTGCTGCTGCTTGAGAAATAAAGTACTGATTGTGTTGTGGCGTTTGATTTTTTTTTTCCTCTGAAGAGGAATAATAAACCAAAATTTGCATAGGAATACTGTAGTATGTAGTTAATAAGGTTAACAAATGGCATTTTGAGGGCCTACTCCTGCTTAATTCAATAAATGTTCATGTGATAAAGGTTTTTATAGTTCCAGATAAGGACAGAAAGTAAAACAAGTTTTTGCTGGCTTACTGTTTGTACCCAAAGCATCAGTCTTAGTCATATATGTGAGAAAGTTCTTGAGTTTTAGGCTCAGAGCCTTTTTAAGGTGAATTATATGTAGAGAAAGCATTGAGCATCTTTGCATCAACTTCATTACATTCTAGATTGAATTATTTGCTTATAATCATTTGCATTATTGCATATGAATTGTAGGAAAGAAATGAAAGTTAAACTTGATAGCAGAATAACTTAACATCTTTCTCTTATTGTAATGATTTTTTAGGTTCTTGGCATCTGCTCAAATTAAAACAATATTTTAGCAATATTATGAAGTGCAATCAATCATGAATTAGCCATTGGAGATATGAACCTTACACTGCATGTGAGCATAAAAAAATATTCAAGTTGCAAGAGAAAGCATTTTTAAATAGTGAAGATCAAATCTTAGCTTGCATCTGGTGTATGAAGTATAGAGTTAAAGCTGCAACCCTGCCGATATTTGAATATGTGTAGAAAGGCAGGAAAAAAAAAAAAAACACCCTAATAAATGGAAAAAATTTAAATACTAAAATTTGAACAAAGATATCAGCTTATATAGGTTTAGGCAAGTACTGAGACTAACTGAAAAAGGTCAGAAGCATGGTAAACTAAGGCTTCATTATTATTTTTGCATAATAGAGATGCAAGCTTGAAAGCTTGAATGCTTAAAGTATAACTAGATAAACATCATGTTTATGTGTAACCATTCACAGCTGTCTCGTCTAAGTTTGTGTTTCCTGTCTGTCTTTGAAAAGACTCCAGTATGTGTTATCAGCAAAATCATCTTGTTGAATGATCAACACTTTTGCTTCCAGCTCCCTTGTGTCTTGCACATAAGACAAAATAAATTAAAGTTCAATGTGATAGTTTGCTTCTGGTTTCCGAAAAACAATAGGTTTTTTTGAATGCTGACCAAACATAATCTCCATTTAACAAAAAATTCCTTAAATTTTTAAAATTTAGGCCAAGAATAGGCTTGGATGCAGCCTCAGTCTAACTGAGTAACATGCATGCTTACATAGATATCAAGTTTTGTCATCATGTTGTGTTGGTGGGAGCTGAAATCCCCTTGTTACCTTCTCTATCAGTAATTCCATAGCTTAAGTTAGAGACTCACCTGTAGTTATGCAAATGGACATCCAGGCATTTAGGAGGCAGAACATATGGATGCCTGTATGGGCAAAGTTACCCAGCTAAGAGTAGATTTATTGATAACATCTTGACTGTCAGATATACAGTAGAGAATATGACAGAGTATCTGAACAGTGCAATTTAGATATTTCTTAAGGAGCCTGCCAAAGCGTTGACTCTTCCTGACAGATGAGGTATTGTAGCAATCCTTCTCTCGAAAGCTGTATAATACAACAATGTGGTTTTATTCATTAGAAATGAGACAGATTTAAAATCTGATTGCAGGAGGGAAGCTCTGCAGGCTGAAAAAAAGAAAAGAAAATTGCCTATTCCAGCATAATATGCTGCACTCAAAAGCTGAAGAAGCTGAAGAGTGCCTCATATCTGGAGTATTAAAAATTGCAGTGGAGTAGGCAACATTTTCTTCATCTCTCAATAGATCATCTTAGATATCTTGACTCGCACTGTCTTCAGGGTTCACTATGCCAGCTGCCAGTAGTATCAAAAACACTTCAAATTTAGTGGATGAATAATATCCTCACCTGTAAAGAAGAAGGAAACAGGAAAGAGATTTCCTTTTAGGGTTGTGCTGTTGTCTTTATAAGATATGTTTTTATGGTTAGTTCTCTACAGCTATGGTTAAATGATTTTTTTTTCTTTTTTTATGTTTGTTTGAACTTCAATTCAAAGTGTGGAAAGATATGTATTGCTTACTGAGGGACAAAGCTTAAATGCCAGTGTTGCAGCTGTGATCTCTAGGAAGAGTAACTATGACAGCTCGCTATATGGCAAATGGTCTAAACTCTTGTCTTCTGAAGTAAGCACAGTTTTTTTGAGCCTTCCCTCCGCAATGTTTTGAATCATCTAATTGATCACCTGCCCAGTGCCATGACTTAAAACATTCTGTCAGGTATGCTTTAGTTCTAGACAACCAATGTAGAACTCTGTGAGAAGAATACTTGGCACTTGCTGTGCTCCATTGGGTGATCCCTTTGAACCCTACACAAGAGTTGTGTAACTTGCATCAGTTTTCAAGGGATTGATGTAAAGAAATAGTGCAAATATGCAAGGAAATGATATTAGTTGATTTAGCAATCTGACCAAGAGAAGGAAAAAATTATGTCCCAGTATCTGACGTTTAGCATTACATAAGGTTATAATATGGACATATGTCCTGAGCCGTGACCACTGAAATGAACCTACTTCTGATAAACTGCTTTGCAGCCTTCCTTTACCATATGGAAAAAAAATTACGTGATTTATTGATGAGTTATGTGCAGCCACAAGAATTTGAAGCTTTAGGATTTCTACAGGACAGAGACAGCAGACCAGACCCAATCCTTGCTTCAAACGGATCTGAACATTTATTATGTTTTTCGTCTTCCATGCACAGAGGAAAAATGTTATGCATGGAAGATGAAGAGCTATTGCGCAGACTTTCCTAAAGAATTTCCTTTTACATATATATCATTGTATTGATATCTGCATAGTTTGTAAACAAGGGGAATCTCTTATCATTTCCACTACTTGACTAACCAGCTAAAATTATAGATTATAAAGCTATAGGAAAAAAATAAAATAAAATAAGGAAGCTGCCAGATACTCCCAGGCAGCTTGACTCCACAGTCTCATACTCTCCATTAAACACAGCAGCATCCCTGAGTTATACTGAAAGTCCAACTCAAAATTCCTTGCTTATCCTATGCTACATTATGCTTCCCTGATTTATTATCTCACTCTAGGCGCCTTTGTCTAGACTCTTCTTCCATTTCCTCCTGAGAAAAGCTTGCTTTCTGAGATTGCAGTTTTCCTAATTTTTCTAATAACTATTTATCAAGCTTACAATTTGCTGTAGAATTGAAAATCCTAATTACTGTTACCTCCCCAGCTTTTTTCTCCCCTTTACCTAAACCATGTATGTACTCTTTGCTCAGATTCCCCTTATTTGATATGTCTCTTCTTTCCCTATGTCTTTTTTTTTTTTTTTTTTTTTTTTCTTACTGGATCCCACTCCAGCCATTTTTTAAATTGAGTGTCAGCTTTACATTTCTGGATCCATTTCTGGCCAATACAGAGTATGTGTGGGTTCTCAGTTCCTTCCAGTGTTCCAAATGGTTATTACTAAGGTTAAGATGAGTGAGGAGAGACCTCATGATGGACTACAACTCCTCATGAGAGGAGCGGAGGGCAGAGCTGAGTTTTGCTCTCTGTTGACAGTGACAGGACCTGAGGGAACAGCATGGAGCTATATCAGGGGAGCATCAGGTTGGGGATTAGGAAAAAGTTCTGCACCAGAGGGTGGTGGGCATGGAACAGGCTGCCCAGGACAATGGCAATGGCCCCAAGCTGCCACAGTTCAAGGAGCACTTGTACGTGGTTCTTAGACATAGGGTTTGAATTTGGGTGTGCTGTGTGGAGCCTGGAGTTGGATTCAGTGACCCTTGTGGGTCCCATCCAACTCGGGATATTCTGTGGTTTTATAATTCTGTGAGCCTGAACGTACAAGATGTGGGTCTGAGTTGTATTGCCAAAGTGGTTGCAAGATGACATGAGTATAAGACAATCCCTGCAGCCAGCAGGTATATTGAAATAGGATAGGATATTTCTAGGAAAAAAATAGGATGGATTGTACACTTCTCACAGTGCTTTACAACAATAGAATAGTCCCTGGGGGGGAATGTACTCTGGTTTATGTGGTAATCATGTGGAAGTAATGCCTTCCTCCAGGGCCTGGTACCAGTTTGAGTGTTGTACAGCCAGTGAGCAGTGGTGATACCCATGCACTCCTCCACACCCAGTCTATTCTCTCTGGTGCTCATAAAGTATGAGGCAGTGCATGTAAAGTTTTCTTAAAATTAATTCTAATCGTGTTAATGAAAAAATGGCAAGTAATTTATTCAATTTTAATAATTCATTGCTGTGTCACTTGCTTTTTTCAGCCAACTTTTCCTACTCATATTAAATATGTAGTTTTGTGTTCAGGGAGGTCAAGCAATTTGGAGACAGATTTCCAAAAGTGACCAAAATGATTGCTACAATGTGAATAGAAAATGTGGATGTGTGCCTTTTTTCCACATAAGTCCTAAATCTATTATTTGTGCTTACAAAAAAATGTAATACCCTTGTTGTCAATGAGCGTAATTCATGTGATTTGCTTGCTTAGTTTCACATGACCTCACTAGATTTGTATTAAAAGAATCTAATCTATTTCAATAAGATTTATATTGCTTTATCAATCTGTGCCTGGCTATAAAACTAAGGTAAATATACTTATTTAAAATGCATAGGTTCAGAATGAACAAAGCATGTGGTGAATTTTATTATTTTATGACCACGCTAGGAGTGCTCCAAAAGTAATGCCTCCTATATTATTTTGTTGTCTCACAACATCATTGGAAGATGTTATTGGTATGGCAGTAGAGGTCGAATCTTCCCACCAGTATCCCATTATATGTTGTTACCATGAGACAAATGGCAGTAGAGGGGCAGTCTGACAGAATGATATCTGACATGGAAGTGTCACTGAAGCAAAGGTGTGTCACTGAAGCAAAGGTGTGTCACTGAATTCCTTCATGCAGGATGTTACTCATCACTGGTGAAAATTCCTAGCTAATGGTAATGACTGTGTTGAAAAACAGTGTTTTGTAGCTAAAAATTTGCTCTCTCAGACGTGTTTTTGTGCTTTTTGTGTCTCTTGTAATTTCCATGGAAATAAACAGGAGGCATTATTTTGGAACAACCTACATAGATTTCATGCATTGAATTGCAGGGGCATTATAGTATTTTTTTTCTGCTTTTTTCATCATAATATTTCATGCTGACCAGGAAATAAACATGCAAATTACCTAAATTGAAAATCTTTGATAAACTGATTTAATTAAAGCTGAAGTGTTTTCACCACTGAAAGACACAGTGAATCATCTGTTTCACTTGTTCCTTAGAGAGGGAAAGACCTCTTAGTAATAGTAATAAAGTATTTTATAAAATAAATGACAAATCACATTTGCTCAACCTATTACTGAGAACCCAGGTAATTTTTTTGTTTTATAGAAGTTACCCTTTAATTTTTCACATGTGAAAGAATAGCAGCCTAACTCCTGAAGGAATATTTTGCTGCATATACTCCTGAATTTAGGAATGTTACGTCAATGCATTGCAAAGTATGAAAGTAAAATGATGTCTTTTGACTTTAGTCATAGATTCACAAAGTGTGATGAATTTTTTTTTTTAATGCGTGGAGGTGGAGAAACTTGGGAAAAGGGGGATTAGCAATGTGTTACAGTGAGTGTAGAGAAACTGTTGAATGAATAAAACTTTTAAAAATTTCTGAAGATGATATAATGTGAACACATTTTATCTCACTTATGAATCCCAATTCTCTTATCTTCACATTATTAATTTGTACAAACAGTAAAAAGTGTGTACTTTCAACTGTTTTTAATAGGCAAAAGTAATAATAAAAGAAGAAATCTTGCAAGGCATCAAAAGAATATTTACTAATTCAGTGGCTTTGAATAGTAATATTTGAAAAGATAAACATTACATTTATTTTTCTCATTAGTTCTATTGCTTAATCATTTTCTTCAGACACCTCAGCTGCCCTCTTCTTGCAGAGTTTCAAGATCTTGAACTTGTAGAAAATGTAATAATTCTGAATGAATTTTGCTGTCTGCAGCTGTGATCTGTTCCAACTCTGTATATGATTTCAATGGCCAGCTGAAGTTGTTTCTGGAAAGGCTGCATCTGTATTTAACTTCCCTGCATCTTATTTAATCTACAGGGTAATGACGTTCGTATAATCCTTGGCCAGTTTGATGAGGAAATGGCTGTGAAAGTTTTCTGCTGTGTAAGTAAATATGTTTAATTTTGTATCACAATAAAAATGTAGTACATCTGTATAAAAATATATGAGTATAAACGTGTCTTCATGTGGTTCAGCTTTGCAAAGACTTTTAGCCTTAAGGGAAGTTACATATGCTTAGCTTCATTTCTGTTTCAATAAAATACTTTGCACTTGACTTCAGAGCAATTTGGGCATGGCCTTCATGGTTAGCTTCTCATTATTGCTTTCTTCTAATGGAATTAAATACTGTATTGAACTTTAGCAGTTCTCTTCATACCAGGTCCTGAGAAACACTTGTACGTATGTAGCAACAGATGCAGAGAACTTCCAGTTTTGCATTATGTCCAGTAGTTGTGTTCTGGTGTCTGTTTGTGTGTGTGTATGTATGTATGTATTTTTGCATGTTTTACTTTGATTTAAAAATTTAAGCAGTTCCTATGTGGGCTAACAAAACAATTCTAAAATTTCTGCTACCCAAAATATTGGTAATTGTACAATCATCATTCACTTTCTTACTATTGTACATTTGACATACTCTTACTGACAGAAAATACTATTAAAAAAAAAAAAAAGAGACTGTGAAGTAAAAGAACTGTAGTAAGACCAGTATGTGTAATTTCACCATATATGTCTTCACAGTCTTTGTGTGTATTTGAATGTACTGCAAACATGCACAAGCTGGAGTGAAACATGGATCTTTTTTTGTATCTGCTCAGTAAATAAATAATCACAACGAATCACAAACAGGCAAATTTTTGTGACTTTAGTTTTGGTATTTTGGTTTTCACTCAGACAAAGTTACCTAGCAAAGGAAAGAAAGGCAAACGTTCAAAATCTGGTTTCTTCATATGCTGCATGTATTGGCTGTTATTTAGCAGTTGTAGTTGCTGGCAAAATTTGGAAAGGAGATATTGCAGAGTATATTTGGAAGGAACAATATCTGTTTGCATCCAAAAGGAAATGGAAAACACTATTTCTTTTTCATTTTTCTCATCTCTGATCAGTCTTGGTATATAGATCTTTTTGTTCCAGCATTTAAATAGATTGACAAAGATAATCTCCTATTTTTCCATTCCTGCAAATAAAGAAGACTCCTTCTGTGGCTTGTATCCTCCACAGATCTTTGATAGCTGGGCTTCATGTGCCCATCTGAGGTATCCTGGTCACAGCTGTCTGCCAACCCAGTACTAGGCAAGATACTGACCTCACTAAGTCCACTGCACTTAGTATGCTGTTGCCTTCCTCTATGGTTTTGTTGCATGTTTGTATACCTAAGAGGAAGCTAAAGAAATCCTAGAAACCTCTGTGGGTAGGGTGTCCTCTTGTCCATACTGTTCTAGTCTGAAGGATTTATGGTAGATCTATCTCTTGCACACAAGAGCCTGCCACAACAGCTTGCCACAGCAGCTGTTAGGTACTAACTGAAGAAGCCTGTGTAATTCAAGTTCCAGGAGTGAAGGCTTCTTCTAAAGTACATTAATGTCAGAAATAATAAGGTGGATTTTTCTGTAGCTTGGAGAAATCCAAGAGATTATGTATTTATGGTTGTATAAATGTATTAATTATGAGAGTTCCAACAGGAGAGGACAGTTCAAAGTAGGTCACTTATATATTAGTGCATGGCAATATGTCAGTAAGCCTGCTATTAGTCATGAAATATATTGTTGACTCATGCACTTCTACAGCTGTGTGTCTAAGAGCACAATAACTTAGATATGTCAAGTTTTTTTATTCCCCCCCCCCCCCCCCCGAGGTGTAACTTCAGTCAGGTTTGTGATTCTCTTTTATATTTAGCTGAGTAGTTTACATCAGTCAGAGCAAGGCTTTAGGTTTGTTAAAGGGAGCTTCTATTGTACCAGAGGAAAAAACATATATTTATTTCTGATTGCGCTTATGACATGAATACTATTTGCTAATAATTTCTGTAGATGGGAAAGCCATTAATGTCTGTACTGGTTTTCTGGTTGCACCCTAGAATTATATGCTGTGGAATTTCCTGAGCACCTCCATATGCTCATTTTCATTTTACCTGGTTATTCCCTGCACACACAGGCATACACACACAGAAGATACATAGCACGTAACTCAAAAGACAAATGGACTAAAAGACAGCCTAATTCAGAGGGGAATTTTAAAAACATGACAGCACTAATTCAAACCTAAGTGAATGTTAGCAGGTGTTTCCTATGATGTTTTAAATAGGCTTATCTATTCGTTTAACGCTAGCATCAAAAGCAATTAGCAATTTAAAATCTATGGGAAATCTTAGCTTTCTACTGTTGTTTGCACCTCAGTGGATTGAATGTGATATTTTTTGTGGGATAAAAATTAGGGAATTTTGCTCAGAACAGAACAATTCAAAAACCAAATATTCAGCAGTGTTGGACAGATGTTGTCTGATTATTATTTGAACTTGGGTTGAAATATAACTTCACTACTTACCTAATGAAAACTTCAAATTCTGCATTAAAAAAAAAATTTTTTTAAAAAGTTGCTAAAGGGAATTTTTCCAAGACATCACCTTTAAGCCATAATCAAACTAGACTGACTCCTAGCTGTTGTAATTATCTGTCTGAAGACAACTAAAAAAATTATTATGTATAGGTCACTGAGATTTAGGTGACTTGACCAGTAAACAAGCCTGGAGAAGAGGAGGCTCAGGGGAGACCTCATTGCTCTCTATAACTTCCTGAAGGGAGGTTGTAGTGAGCTGGGGGTTGGCCTCTTCTCTCGTGTCATTAGTGATAGGACCAGAGGGAATGGTTTCAAGCTACGGCAGGGGAGATTCAGGTTGGACATTAGGAAGTATTACTTTTCAGAAAGGGTGGTCAGGCACTGGAATGGATGCCCAGGGAGGTGGTGGAGTCACCGAGCCTGGGGGTGTTCAAGGAAAGGCTGGATGTTGTGTTGAGGGACATGGTTTAGTGGGAGCTACTGGGAATAGGTGAACGGTTGGACTGGATGATCTTGAAGGTCTTTTCCAACCTTGGTGATTCTATGATTCTAAACAATAACAACGTAGGCAAAGTGTAATCAGCACTTGTGATACAGAAGAACTGGACTCTAGTCTCCTTGAGCTGATAGAGTATTACTGCTGAGTCTCTGTTTTGAAATTAAGGGCACCACTGATTTCTAATGAGAAACAGATGGAGGTTCACTGCAGTTCAGAAGTTTATAGACATTCTTATAGAGGTGGGATGTAGAATGTGTCCATGCTGATGTGAGAGAAGCACAATGGAAAGTCAACAAGAGTGAGGTTTTGCAGCCTGTTTTGCACAGACTGCTAGAATTCACTGGCTACACACAGACAGATTTCTTACAGAGACTGAGGTAATTCATCTCTTTGATTTCCACTTGATTCCAGATCTCAGATCTGCTGTGTTGAAAGGAACACTGCCTCTCTCTGTCTAATTAGAGGCATTGTTATTTCTCGCAATTTTTTTGGTTTGCTTAGTACACATTTCCTTCCAATCCATCTCTAATAGAGTTCTGTTCACTTGTTGAAAAAGAGTATTTTAAATGATCACTGAATATGCAATGGTCTATTTTAGATATCAGGAAATTTGAAATAAGGCAGTAGCCAAAAATTAGCTCACCAATAAGTTTCTAATGACATTCAATGTAACTGTTCCTTTAAGCAAAGGCTAAAGATTAAGAGCGGTCATATTCTGAAGTGTGTAAAAATGGTTCATTACAGATTGAAGTGTGTTTTCTTGTTGCTTCTGTTTTCTTTTAAGAAACTGAAGCAGATTTTCATTTGCATATGAATGCACAATCAGCACCAGCAGTGATAACCTTTAGCTTTTTACCAGTATGCTTACCCTGTTTTGAGTAATGTCAGCCTGTAGTGTGCAACAATCAAAGAGATGAATCCGCATCACTGCAGACACACTGAAAACCATTTCACAGTTATTGATAATAGTGATAATTGGTTTATGCTAAAACTAACAAATAACGATGGTCTCTTTAAAAAGTTATGGTGCCTATTTGTCCTTTGACTTGATTTCTGTATGTCCTAAATAGAATAAAAGAATTTATTTAAACTTACTGTGTATTAATAATTAATCAAAATCTTAAGCATTTTTAGAAATTAGATTTTCATTTGCCAAATTATTAAAAGCTGTTTTATCAAATTGCTATAAGGCTCAGTTAAAACATGAATTTTAAAACTTGGTTCAGTAATCAACTAATCTTTAAGTAAGCTCATTGTAAGTGCAGAAATGTTTCATCATTCATCCCACCTTGTCTTTGGCTACTTTCAGGACAGTAGCCCTGTTTATCATTGTGAGATTTTGACAGTGATAAAGTATGTGTGTAGAGTGTTGAGCCAGAGCTTCCATGTCACCAAGCACTTTGCATTTATAGGATGATTTTTGTCCTAAGTAAGCATTTCTTAATAGATTCAAACAAGAGTGAAAAATTTTCTAAAAATACCAAAATTATTCTCACAATGAGAAAAAAAATATATGTCCAGGACTGCCTGCCTAGCACATGCAGGAGACTTTGGGAAGACACCATAACTACTTTTTCTTCTGATGGTATAAAGTGCATGTAAATGTTCTTTGCCCTGTTCTTGCACAGAAATCTTCCTTATAGAAGCTAAAACCCGTGAGAGTTAATTGGTGTGCATGCAAATGGCTCGTGCAAGATCCATGTATTTTGGGTCAAGGAAATACATCTTTTAAGCATCAAAATCATCTCCATGCAGCAGAATCAACAGGGAGGAAATGGTGGCAATATATGTATGCATACATATATGTATATATATGTACATACATATATTTTGAAATAATCATAAAATATTCTGGAACAACATACGGAAATGCCTGAACACTAGCTTTGCTGTCCCTGACAAAGAGACTGCATGGTCATGGTGCTCAACTTTGGGAGTAGCTGATTTTCTTCCTACTCAGTTTGGCTTCCCAAGACCATCACACCCTTCTGACCCTACTAATCCATCAGATCTCAAAGGAAGAGTTTCCAGCTCTTTCTTCTTTAGCAATATCTAGACATCTGATCAAATTCTTGCAGGCATGTGAAAGTTTCACAGCAGCCTTGTTGGGAATGATTTCACGTTTCCAGGATAGAATTTTTGGCCATTTGGAAACTTTTAGTTTTCAGTCAATATCCCAAGACATTTACAGATTATAAAGAAAAGAGGCTCAAGTGCTCCAGCAAACAGAATAACTCCAACAGATCTGATTTCAGTAGTTCAGAGCTGAAGACAAGGTGGGATGAACGATGAAACATTTCTGCGCTTACAATGGGCTTACTTAAAGTAGTTAGAGCCAATATTTTCCAGCAGTATTTGGCTTGACACCTTAACCTGCATAGAGCAGAGGAAGCTGTGGAAGACTGCCCTTCTCAAACAGTGCTGCTCTGTGTTAATTTGTGTCCTTTGTGATTTGAAAACTGGCAAGTAAACGACACTGTATCACTGAAAGACCTTGAATCATCTTGTTCTAAAACGGAAACTATTTTGGATCTCTTTAAAAGGTGTCACAGGAGGACAAAAACAAATGTATTTCTGGAAAGATGAAATTAATGAGAAAGACAAGCAATTTATGAGAATTATGGAATAAGTATGATACGAGATGGCAGACAGTGGGTTTCAGACTGAAGTTCTTTCGAGCAGCACTGTGTACAAATGCATGAAATTTGGTTTTAGCTGAACAGAAGCTCCTGCGACCAAGGGCCAAAGAGAACTGCTTTCTGCACAATAAATTTCTAAACTGACTTGTCAGAAATACAATAGTTTCCACAGATTTAAAGCCCAATTTTAATTTGGGTATTAATATATTTAAGAGGCTCTCCCATGGTGTAATTTTTGCAGTTCATATTTATATATCTGATAGTCTCTTGGAATGATCTTTTAAAAATGATTATGTTCAGAATAGCTAATATTTCCTCGTTTTACTCTCATTGTTTTGTCCTGCTGTAAAGATCGTGTAAGAAGTTACAGGTCTTCCAGTTAGGAGATTTAATGCTACACCACTTATTTTGAAAAAATTGATTTTTTTATTTTGTATCTCCAACAGTGCTTATGCTAAGAAACAAAGAAACAAAAAAAACAAAAACTGCTGTTTTGAAACTGAGTCTGACCGAAACGTCAAAAGAAAAACATTTAGTTACAAATCTTGAGAAAAATATTTGAGATAAAATTTTCTGACTTCATCCTAGTACACTATTCACAATAGAATATCTATTTTGAATAGATCTGTTTTTAGGTACATCAGCAGATGTGCTCACTGAGTAGTTGTGTTTCCTGATAGATGTGTCTGCTATGTATTTAAAGGAAATAACTATCATCTCAGTAACTGAAAGTACAGTGAGTGGTGTTCAGTTTTCAAATGGAATAGAAGAAATTTCTTACTGAAAGAAAAAAGTCACTGATGGTTGCTTGGTTTATGAGTTTATCACTGATTCTTACTCCTCAGAAGAAAGTGCTTATTTAATGTCCTTATGGTCTACTTTATCTCAGTCACATTACTCATATTTGCAACACTGAGACTTGTTCTTGTCTCAGCTCCAAGTTCTTTTGTTTGACAATACCCTGGTTTATGTGCTGGTGAAATTTAGCTTAAATGTGGCCCTGCCACTCATGTAATAACTGTGTTATACAAAATTTCTGATGGAAACAAGGTACCTTCTGCCAGTGTTCCTCCTTCTCTCTCCTGGTCTTAGAATTCAATATTCTATTCTGCTTTTGAGTGAATGATCTATTGAAAACAGATGAGATTTTATCTAATTCTCTCCTCAGGAACTTAGTTTTAAAGTCAGAAATATTCAAGAAAGGAGTCCTCATTGTTAGAAAGCAGTTATTCTAAACTGTTCTAAATACATTTGTATCTTTCTGTAAGGACATTATTTTATTATTAAAGGGAAAAACAAACAAAAATCATGAAGAGAAACTTTTTTTTTTTTTAATGTTTAATATGTCTATTAAAATATCTTTTCTATTTATTTTTTTTTTTCATTATAGGCTTATGTTGAAGAAATGTATGGCAGCAAGTATCAGTGGATTATTCCAGGGTGGTATGAAAATCTTTGGTGGGAATCCTGGATTAATTCTTCACAGTGTCTCAGCAAAAATCTTCTTGCAGCCATGGAAGGTTATATTGGAGTGGATTTTGAGCCTCTCAGTTCAAAAATGAATAAGACCATATCAGGAAGGGTTAGTATTTTTCCTCCTACTAATGTGTTATGGTCTTCAAGCATCTTGGCACAGTAAAGCACATAGGAGGAAGGCCAAACTACAAGGTGTTTCTGCAGAGAGTTGGCAGTCATCATTGTTATTCTCTTTTTTTCCACTGATTCATAATTCTTAAATATTTAAAAATCCATTTGAATTCTCTTCAGGGAGAATTTCCTTAAAAGCTCTAAAGTCCCTTGCCTAAATACTGTTGTCTTTACCCTTTATGGACCTTACAGATAAATACACAATAAAGCTTGAATTAGTCTTCAATATCACATGTTGCATTATGGCAAATTAATATTTTTGTTTACAGAATAGAAAACATTTATGTTTATCCCTAGTCCTGCAAATGTCTGATGTCATTGATTATTTGTGCCTCTCTGAACTGGAGGGTCTTTCTTTAAACACATAAATATGTAGTATTTCCATATATAAAGTACCTAACATTTTATCATAGTATAAATGCCTGCAAACTCTCATCAATGAATAAACATGCTTGATTTTCCTATTTTTCATCATTTTTTCTTCTGTTGTTTTTCATGTTTTGCTGAGTGAGCAGGAAAGGCAACTTTATGAAAAGGCAACTCATCATAAGAGAGAGCATCGTAAAGAGCATAATAAACTTGTAAAATATAGGCAAATTGCCACTCAAATAATTGCACATTAAGCAAGTAGTAACTTAAGTAAAGACCATTTGATTTGCATTATTCTATAGAGTATAATCAGAGCATTTATCTTTAGGGATACAGACTCTATGTTCTAGTACTGTGGCTTACCAGTATGCATCCTGTGCTGATAGTTCTGGTTGAACTAAAGCCTTCTGCATGGAAGCAAAATAAATAAATCTGTCCTTCATACAGAGAAGCAAACTACTTTTCAGTCTTCCGGTCTCCTCAATCCCCCTCATGGCCTCACCATCAGTTTTGTAACATTACACAGTACACATTTTTGTAATTACTGTTTCTTTCTTAATTCTTGCTTTGATTGTCTGTTCCACGTTAGTGATACATTCATCTAAACTAGAGCGTGCACTTTACGGTTCAGGTTTCACAGAATCATAGCATGGCTTGGATTTGAAGGCACATTAAAGACAACTGAGTTCTAGGGTGGCAGATTTGCCATCCACTGGCTCAGCTGCCCAGGGTCCCTTTCAACCTGGCTTTGAACTCCTCCAGGGATGGGGCATCTACAGCTTCTGTGCACAGCCTGTGCCAGGGCCTCACCACCCTCAAAGTAAAGAATTTCTTCTTAACGTTTAACATAAATCTTTCCTCATTTAGTTTAAAGACATTTCCCCTTGTCCTGTATGGACACGAATCAGTGAAATGTTAAGTATTGAAGTAAAACTGAAATTTTTCTCCTCTGCAGACTCCACAACAATATGAAAGGGAATACAACGCAAAGCGTGGTGATGGACAATCCAGCAAATTTCATGGTTACGCCTATGACGGAATATGGGTGATTGCCAAGACCTTGCAGCGTGCAATGAAGTATCTCAATGCCACCAACAAGCACCAAAAAATTGAAGATTTTAATTATACAAATCACAAACTTGGCAAAATTTTTCTGGATGCTATGAATGAAACAAACTTTTTCGGAGTAACAGTAAGTCCTAAGCAGCAATTTCTGGGGGAGGAGGGAATTCATGATTTTAAGTCAGTAGCTCAAGCAAGTACTGCATTTAAAATACTCTTGAAAAAAAAAAGATAAGTGTGTATTTCTTTTATTTTCAGATATTCGTAATTTATCTTTGCAATTAAAGTGGATGCTTTGTTTATTACCTGTCTTCTGGTGCCAAGAGATGACGTTGTTTAATTACTCAGTTATCAAATTTTTAAGCATTGATGTGATCTGAATTAACAACCCAGAATTGCTTTAAGGGAACCATGAGTGCTGTAAGTTGCAGTGCCTTTTAAGTGACTGTTTTTGTAGTTAAGATGTACCTGGGATGCAATTTGAAAGCACCTATTTTTCCACGTTTTATTTGCAGTAGTAGGTTATAGTACACTATATAGTACACTAATGTCTCCAAGTGCTGTACATCCTAAAACATCCACCAGTATATTTCAGGAGACATTTACATATTTTCAAAATTTCTGATTTTTCACAGTCAAGTACAAAGCATGGTAGTTATGACTGAACAAACATAATCATATACAGTACCAATCTAACTCTGTTTTCAGTGACACCACTGCAAATTCATGGCAACTTTTTCTTTGACACTGCTCCTCTTTTTTAGCAGAGGCAATAAGGAATGTAGTCCTAAAATTGCTTTTAAGCAATTCTAGCAAGTCTATGAGATATCAGAATTTGAAGGAGTATACATTTTCAAGAGTGTGCAGAGCTATTCTCCTTCAAGAGAGCTGAGCAGGCTCCATTTTAGGGAGGACGATCTTCACAGTAGTTACAGCAAATGAGAGAAGCTCCTGGCATCCTTTGGCCTGCAACATGGCTAGATAAGGAAATCAGAGTTTTGAAGAAACATGTAATTCAGTGGTGAATGCTAGCAGTGCTTGTAGGAATATCTCTGTGGCAAGAGCATGCAGAAAGTTGGCATCATTTCTGCTGCTGTGCAGTTGCTTGTCACATTCTGTCCCTGAGTTAATTTAAATTGTCTTGGAAATCAGTTAACCTCAAAACATTTTGAAGCAGCAGAACTAAGGTTGTCATACATGTCACAGATTGTTTCAAGGAGGAAATGTCAAAGTGTACATATAAAAAATGAGTGCAGGCTCAACTTTTTGGTGTCCTTGTTAACTGCTGAGGAAAGCTGCTTTGTATCACAATACAACTGAAACTAATTTAGGATTTGTAATTAAAGAGCAATTGTGTGGCAAGGCAGTAGTGGAATCTAGTTGCAAGTACAATACAAAATTTGCTTTCTTTTTATATTTTGTTTAGCTGAAGGCTATAGTAAAAGTATTTTGCATCTATAACAAATCCACATTGTTGATAAATCAGTCAGTGACAGCTGTAAACCAGATTCTATGGGGAGTCAGAAATGTATGCTCTGAGTTAATTCAAGCACAGCATCTCTCAAGGTGGATGAAATTCTATTTTGGCTACACAGCTTTATTTTTACCATCTTATTCTTTTTTTGCCTGCTGTTTAGTCCAGGAAGCCCATTATGTTAAAACTGATAGATGTCATTAAGACTACTTAATTGCTCTCTACTGGCTAAATCACTGCCCCTCACCCTAAAGGAATAAAACAAACAAATAAAACAAGACAAAACAAAAAAAGAAAAAGAAAAAATCAGCACCTCTAAAATGTGGAAGACTCTTTTATCTTAATTTTAGCAAAAAACTCAAATGTGAACTGCATCCCTTTAGGGAAGGAATGAATCAAAGATTTGCCAACCATCTTCAACCATGCTGATGAACTTTAAGTGTTCAGTTCTTAATGAAATTACTGCAAGATTATTCAGTGTGTTTAGTATTTGTCTGAATCACTTTCTAAAATTTTTTTTATTTTAAGAGTATTTTACCAAGTGACTGTGACAATGCACAACCAAATCTGGCATTTGTTTTATGGTAGCAGTGTAATCATTAACTAATTCGCTGAAAAATGCAGATTATACTTGTATTGTTTTTTCGAGTACATAGTGACAAGTGCAGAATATTATGTTTGTTTTCTGTTTTCTTATCTGTAAAGGATTATGCTTCTTGTTCCTACAATATGGTCTAAAAAATGTTCTAATCAAAAAGATAAGAAAACAAGAAAACCTATAGCAGATAGACTTCCTTAAGATATAATTAGAACAAAAAATATATAAAGTTTTCTAGAAAGTGAAAGAAGAAGGATTTCAAAGCAGACATGAAAGTTTTGGATTACAGTGCTCAGAAAGTCAAAGGAACAGATTGAAATTTACCAGAAATATTTTTAAATTCTTCCGTCTAATACATTGCTTTCTTTTTTGACCGACTTTAAAACACTAATGGGAATGCAGCCCTTAGGTCTGGGAGTGGCAGATCACATTTTAATGTAATTTTAATTTCCAGAAAAATATTTGAATACAAAATTTCTACAATTTGTTTTTGACAACTCATTTTAAACAGGAAAAACCCATTAATTTATTACTGGATTTAATCTACACCAAATATAAAATGAATTTCTGAAAGAAGAAATAAGAGGAGTCTGATCAGTATTCAAAAATGTTATCTCCAGATGCAGTAAAGTATGTTTTAATGATTAGGAGGGGGAAGTGAAGAAAGTGAAGACAAGAATCTGAAAATGCAGAATCTATTAAGAATAGTCATTGTCATGGTCATTGTCATCTTTCATATGCTCTCTTTGCACATGATATCAAAAACACTGTGACATCATAAATCATAATTCCCTTTACCCAGTATTTGTGTGGCATTTTGTGGTGGTGGAGGTTAGTTGTTTATTTTTGTTTTGTTTTGTTAATAATTTTGAAAAGACTTGCTGGGAGTGAAGTGGGTGCCACTTCCTGATTATAGATTTTTTTTTTCTAGTTTTCTGTTCTGTTTTTCTGATCAATTTTTTATTTTCTTGGAAGCAGGATTTAGAAAATGGCTTAGTCTACTGCCTGAAGTCTTGACATGAGTAATCCTCTATTTACACATCAGAATTTCAGGTCATTGATGTTGCTTGTTCTGCTTTACTGTCAGAAATCCTGGTTAGAAAGGAAATTCATAGAATCATAGAATCACAGAATCATAGAATGACTTGGGTTGGAAGGGACCCCAAGGATCAAGTTCTAACCACACTGCCACAGGCAGGGCCACCAACCTCCAGATCTGGTACTAGACCAGGTTGCCCAGAGCCCCATCCAACCTGGTCTTGAACACCTCCAGGGACGGACCATCCACAACCTCTCTGGGCAACCTGTTCCAGCATTTTACCACTCTCTTGGTAAGGAATTTTTCCCCGACATATAATCTAAACCTTCCCTCCTTGAGCTTAAAACTATTCCCCTTGTCTTATCACTGTCTAACCTTGTAAAAAGTTGATTCCTTTCCTGTTTATAATCGCCTTTTAAATACTGGAAAGCTGAAATTAGGTCACCCCGCAACCTTCTTTTCTCCAGGCTGAACAAGCCCAGCTCTCACAGCTTGTCTTCATAGGGGAGGTGCTCCAGCCCTCTGATCATCTTCATGGCCCTCCTCTGTTGGACTCACTCCAACAGCTCCACATCTTTCCTGAATTGGGGGCCCCAAACCTGGCTGCAGTACTCCAGATGGGGCCTCACGAGAGAAGAGTAGAGAGGGACATTATAGCTATTCTTTAAACATTGTTGAAGGTTCTGTTCTTTCTCCAGACTTTCTTTTTCCCTAAGAAAAATGATTCATTTTCTTATTATATTCTCACCGAGGTTATCAAGCTTACAGTAAAGTGTGTGTATTTGGAATACAGAGCAAGGAAACAAGATTTATCTGGTGTTTTATCAGGAAGCAATAATGTAGTTATCTGCTACTCTTTTTTTTTTAAAAAAAAAAAAAAAAAAAAGGTAAGTCAGACACTGTTGTACAAATAGAAAGACTTCTGTGATGAAAAATGTGATACAAATAGACAAAAGAGCTGCAGGGGATGTTCCTACAATGTTATTAATCTGAATGTTCTAATTCTGCAGCCTGATTCACTGAGGTTGAATAAGTTTATGGCTAGAATGGTTTGACTGCAACTACCAATGTCCTAGATGGGAGTTCTTTTGATCTGGAGCTGAGTTTAAATTTTTCCTAATTCTGTGCCTACCAAAACACTCACTTGTTAATGGAGAGTTGCTATAACAAAGATCTCATAAAGGATTTTGGACATTTTTTCCCGAGTTTTCTTAATCAAGGTAAAACCAGTTTTGTAAATGGGATGCAGCCTTGTCACCTGCATGATTTATAAACCACCATATACCTGTTTCCTGGCTAAATATGTCTCTTTTTGTCAAATAACATGTCTTTTTTCTGATAACCAAAGTGTCAGAAAATGAAAGATAAGAAGTACTATACGTTTTGAGCCACTTTAGATGTATGAGAGATCTCCTTGTACAGCTGACAGATCCACTGAAGGTATTTTAGAGTCTGAGTATCTATAGAGGTCTCTGTTGAAATGTTACTGCTTTGAATCAGTGCAGTGATGAAGTGATGAGAAACAAAATTTTATCTGTGAGATCTATCTATCTTTCTATCTGTCTTTCTGCCTTTCTATCACACAGCAGTAAATAGGATATTACCAATAAGATACACATCAAGTATGTGTGAAAAATAGTGAGTATTTTCCAGGCTGGAATAATTATCTTAAAGCAAGATTGTTTTCCTAGAGGATGAAGGAAAGAAAAACTACATTTATTTAATGTAATACTAGCATAATAAAACTTGGAATCTTGATTATTACTGAAGAATTAGAGCTGTCTTTCAGGGGGCTTTTCAGGAAACACTCATATTTAGTGCTTATTGAATTAAACTCATCTAGAAAATTGTAGGAAAATAAGTCACTCCCTCTTTTTTTTTTTTCCTTTTTAAAGACTATGGAAGATTGCTAGTAAACTTAGAACTGCAAAAATGTCATTTGTTAGGAAAAAAAGTGTTGACTATGCTTGGAAAGATATATTAATTACCTTATTTGCTCTCACTATGCTGTTTGTAGGT